AATAGTCCGTAGTAGTGACACCTGCCTCGTCAGCGATTCCACATCAGTTCTGCAATAAACTTTTTAATGGGATCAGAAAGTAAACGAAAAGCAACCATTTACGATCGATCATTATCAGTATAAAAAAACCAAAAAAATCAAAAAAAAAAGAAAACAAACTTATATTTTGCGACTTCGCCTTTCGTTTCCATCAGTTCGTCCATCAATTTTTTACAACTGTCACTGGCATTTTTATAATTACTTTCCATTTTTGCGTAGTTTTCACGCACCAAAGTGAGTCCACTCGTGTCGGTTTTTAGCTAAAACACACAAACACACTCTACATTATTTCAACTAAAAAAAAGGAAAAATCCCAGCTAGCGGGTGAAATAGCTCTGACCTGTTCTTTGAGCATTAGTTGCGTTTGTTTTTGTAATTCGAGATCTCCTCGTAATTTGCCGTTTGCATTACGCAGTTCAGAAATTTGTTTAACCTGATGGTCGATTCGTGCTTCCATTAGCCTGCAGCACAGAAGTCATTCCAACTTGTGACATTTCTAGTGCTCATTTTCATCAAAACTTATAATTTTTTTTTTTTTTCGATCAACCCCAACAGAAACAGTCCAGCAGGAGGCTAACATTAAGTGATGCGCAGCTTTGGTAGCAGTGATTCCATGGTGCAGACTGCAGCGATGTTGACGCCCGGCCAAGCTGCAGCTAATAAATGTATGAAAGCCCAAAGCTCAATCCTCATTTTCCTCTGCATTTTGCACTCCGTAGAGACGAAGGCACGGGGAGGGGGGGACTGCTTGAGGTGATGATAGCAATTTGCCAACGGCATCCCACGCCCTGGCAAGGTAAGCTGTTCGATCGTCAACATTTCCGAGAATCGCTTGAAATGCAAGCTGCAAGCAATCTGACCACTGTTACATTGCATGGTACTACTAATTTACTGTCGAAATGGATGACATTGCCTGGGACCCACTTTCGGACTAGTATCCTTCTTCCTTTCTCCCTCCCCCCCCCCC